GGGGGGGGGGGAATGGGACACCTGTAATATTTTCAACAATAAAGATAATTTTTTTTTTTTAATTATGATTCGGGGAAACCTTTATAAGGGCTGGCTCAGATGGCAGAAATGCAGGCAGGCAGTTCAGTTAACAGGTAGGCAGTTCAGCACAAGCTTCTTGGTAAAGTGCAGTTTGTATTAGAGGACCTCATGCAGAAATGGGTGCTAGGCTCTATTTTGTTTTTTAAATATTTTTTTAATTGATTTTAAAGAGAGAAGAAGAGAGAGAAAAACATCGATCAGCTGCCTACCATACATACCCCAACCTGCAGGGATGGAACCCGCAACCTGGGCATGTGTCCTGACTGGGAATGGAACTGGCAAGCTTTCAGTGCATGGAACAATGCTCAACCAACTGAGCTACATGAGCCAACTCTTGTTTTGTTTTTTAATTTGAGTTCAGTTAGCCACCAGCAGCCCTTTTTATTAGGGGTCTTTAATTTTGCCCCTCAGGGTTCACAAGAATAATGGTAATTGTTACTTTTTTTGGCAATAATAGGAATGCTCCCTGTTCATAGAGGTCAGGGTGTCCAGGCTAAAGAAAAGCACAGAGGCAGGAAAGCCTGGAGGGTGGTGGTCACAGAGAAGCTGGTCCGGTGGGTTTGTTGGATAACTCAGCCACTCCTTCAACAAACATTTAAATTCCCATTATGTGCCTGGCATTGAATGGGATGGAAAAATTGGTTGGAGTACAGGGAACCTGGAAAAGAGCAATAAGAGGTGAGCCAGGAAGAGCACCTCTGATGGGAATTACCAAAGGCCTTAGTGGTAGTTAGGGACTCTGAACCTTGCATGTCACAACTTTCTCTTTTTTCCACTATGAAATTATGTTCCTTGAGCTGGACAGCAGGGGGCAGTGTAGCCTTATCAGATGGAACTGGAAGTGGAAGCTCTCAGCAGGAGCTCAGTTACCTTGGAGCCTTAGTTTCTGCATCTGTAAACTTGGTCAGCAATGCTTCTTTCTGCTTACCTCCTCCTACCATGGAGAGGATCATAAGATGATCAAGAGAAACTGGGAGGGGTTCAGACACCTGAAGAAGGTTGTTTACTGGGTCTCAGCCTTATCAGGGGCATCCAGCAGAAGACCTCAGCTGGCCTTGTGAATACACCGCCACTTCCAAACAAACTGGGCAACCAGGACCCGCACCGGGAAATGGTCTCATTGAGGTGGACTTAAAAAACACATTCTAGGACGTGTTAGAGAAACACATTCTAGGACGTGTCAGGTTCACCTGGAATGGACTAGATGCCAGTGGACATCCCTTCACCAGTGTCTGCAGTGCCTGCCCAGGACCAGTGATACTGTGTGGACAGACCCATCTCTCCTGTCAATAGAATCACAGGCCAGAATGGATGTGCTGCTGTTGCCGACACAAAGGACAGTGTCTGCATGCAGCAGGCGCTCAACAGATGTTTGCTGACTGCTGCAGGATGGAGAGTTTAGACTGCAGCCTGTAGATCCGCCTGGGGGACACCCCCCCCGCATTGGCAGGGCTGTGAAGCAGAAAGATCAAGGAGGGCGTACCAAGGGTTTTATTTCAAGGAGGGAACCCTTTGCTAAAGAATCGAGATAAACTAATGAGACTGAACACTTTCAACTGCTTTGTGCCCGAGCAGTACTTTGTCTCGGCACTGGGTCTGTTAGGGCAGGGGATTTTCAGAGACACGCTTTGAATCACTAAAGAGGGGTGGAAGTGTGGGGAAATCAAGGGGAAAAAAGAGAAAAGAAATCTAGGATATTTTCCCCACTGGGATTTAAGCCAGGAATGGCAAATAGATTCATTTGTATGTCAATTCTGACTGGCTGGTGGTGGCTGTTGAAGGCACTGTGCTGAGAAGGATTCTGAAGCTGCATTCAGTTAAAAGGAGAGGGTCCTATGCCTGACTAAAGGCACCTGCTGTAGGCTGGAAAGTGGGCGTGACATCATGGACATGAGCAGTGGCCTCCCCACATGGTTCTCGTGAGAAACCCAATTTAGAATCATGACATCGTTCTGGAAACCAGACTGTGGACAAAGTATTTTATTTCACTTTGTTTTGTTCCCCATGTGAAAATAAGGCCCAGGGAACGCCCACCCCACCACGCTCAGTGCCACCACCTCTGGAGCGCTTCATCTGCAGGAACCCGAGCTCCGACAGGGTGGGGAGAGCGCGCCTTCAACCACTGCGCCCTCCCTGGGGAGTGAGTCTTCTCACCTTGCGTGGAGTGGCCTTCTCTGGGTGACATCTACAGGGGTCTAACTGGAGAGTAAGAATGAGGGCAGCCGGTGTTTCTTGGAAGCCAGGTAGAGGCATATGATACAGAACCAACCTGAACAAGTTTTCAATGATTTTATTTGGAAACTTAGAGACAACTCTAGGTCCTCCGTGAATTCCCAGTGAGTTTACAGCAGTCATGGGGAGCAGGATCTGTTTTGCCCCACTTTTTGCCAGGTGCCAGTGCAGATCAGAAATAGATGGTGATCGATCAGTGGTCCAGCTGGAGGGGAGGAGCAGATTGCTTGCAATCAGGACAGAAGGGATTCCGAGGTTAGCACAGGTTCTGGAGGCAGCGCCCTGCAGGGAATGAGGCCCTGGTCGGCTGACACCAGCCCTGGCCCTGGGGAAGAAGGAGGGAAGATAAGACTTTCATCTATGTGGGGTTATCAGTCAGCTAGATGTAGCAGTCAACCCATTTGGAGCTGTTTTGGTCAAGACAATTGGCAAAGTATCACCATGAGACCAGGCTGGTGGTAGGCAATTAGGTTGTCTAGGTTATTTGTAAATTTCCAAAAAAAAAAGTATTACAGGAGGAGGATGTATCTTCTTTCTTTGAAAATGAATTTTCCTGAAATTGAAAGTAGGCCACTGAGGTTTAGAGCACAAAAGTCACAGCAGGGTCAGAACAGTACTTTTCCAGGAAGGTTCTGGAGGCAGGGGACCTGGTGGACAGGTAGGAGTGGTGCATGGGATTCGCTGGCCTCAGACAAGCCTGAGAACTGACCGCTGACCAGTAGCTGGGACCCCCTTTCTATCACTGAAGACCGTCTTCCTTGCACTGTCTGACTCTGGTTTCTCCACGTGAACAGATAAAACTAACCACATCACAAAACTACAACCTCATGCTGTGCTCGCTTGGCTGCAGGTGGTCCTCGGTCACTCAGGTTGACCTGGAGAGAAATAATCGAGCAGATGCATGACAAGAAAGTGCTCTTCTTGCCAGGACCTCGTGGAGCTGGGGGGAGCTCTGTACCTGGCTATTGGAAGGAGGCTGAAGCTGCTTGGAGCTGGGCTTTGTTTCCTACAGGCACTTGAAAACAAATTCCATGTCATTCCCACCTTCTGTACTGGGGCACTCTTTTTTTTTTTTTTTT